AACTCGCGCACGGCATCGATTCGGTAGAATATTTCGATAAGGTCGCCTTCGTGGACGGCGACGGGCGCAGTGATTTTTTGCAATATTTGCTTGAACGTCGGCGGCGAGTATTCTGCAAGTGTTATAGTTAGTGCACCACGGCACCAAAAAGGGCTTACCCGATATGTTCTTCAGGCCAAGGATGGAAGCTTCCACCATCCTTAAGTTCTGGGCATCCAAGTCGTGATTGAGGTTCGCAACCAACAAATCGATGACATCGGACTGAACGGATTCGTGAACGTAGGAGAACTCAGATAAGACCAGAATTGAGCTGCCCTAGTTCCAGCGCCCCTTAGCATATTATACAGACGCAGACGCCTTACCTGAAGATCTTTGTTTTTTTGAAGTTCTTGAAGATGGTACATGACCTCGCTTATGTTTACAACGGGAATGACGCCAGTCAAGACCTTGCTCAAAGCCTTCAGTCTTAACAGAAGTTTTTCCGAGATTGTGGGTATGTGGAACCCATCATCCTCCGCCGGCTTTTCGTAGTTAACAGGTGAGAAACATATAATGCTCGTACCAATGGGCCGTTATCGTTTGACAGGGCAAGATCCTCCAGTTCGTTCGTGATGTCCAATAGATTCCTTGAGTTGACGTGAATGACCGCACCGTCTAAGAGAAGTTCCTCCCAGGTGCTGCATTTTTTTTCGTTTAGCAAACATCAATGGCAATAGCATTTACGTCGAGTTAATGACATATCCGTCATCCGGATGCGGCGGGAGGACCTTACAAATTGACTCAATGCGGGAGGGAATTTTTCGCAATAGCCTGGAGAAGGCCTTACGTATTGCGACGGAAGGATCGGCATAAAGCGGTAACAAAATCCACAGGATGGTCGCGCTCTCAATACCGTCAAGGTGATGGATTTGCGACAAAATAGAGCTAAGCGCGGCCAACCTGACAGACGCACTGTTGTGTCGAATCAGCCTCAGTAGCTCTTGAATAATCATGTAAGCCGTGGTGGATGACGCGATAGCTCCGAGGCCGCGTATACTCAACAGGAGAACACCTTTACATTGTCAGATATCAATGATTTGGCCTGACCAAACCTACGGTCCGTCTCCTCTTGGGAAAGCCCTGAAATAAGAGGGTCACCGACCGCCTCCAGCCCACCTTTCTGAATGGTCGATATCTCGTTGCGGAGGTAATCATGAAATTCCTTCGTGTTATGCGCCGAGACGCACCGGAATACGAGAGGGTAAACCCGGCTGGCGCACTTGATCACGTCTTCTTCGTCGTCCACAATCAAGGCCCTAATTACGTCCCGGACTTCTGACAGCTTCGTGCTAACTCCGCTAGGGAACGCTAGCAGCAACGTTTCTATAAGCTCCAGTGCTCCGACCTTGACCATTGAGCTCGGGGAGTTAAACGCGACGTCAAGAGCCAAGTCAAGGTATTGTAGCAGGATGGATGGGCTGACGCCTGGAAGTTTCAATCTCACGATTAACTTCAAAATGTCAAGCGCGGACCTATAAGTCGCATTAGAACACACTGCGTGCAAGGTCGCCTTACAGTTGAAAGGACCATTGCTTGTGCCCAATCATCTGCTGGCTGACGTACTCCAGTAACCCCCTCATAACGCCGGCATTTACGACACCTTGCTTGAAAGAACACAAAACCGTTGACAAGCACGCAGCTCTGTCGAAAAAATACGTGAGCCAAATTTTCTTCTGTAAAGCCGTACTTTCTAAAAAGCGGGTCGGGCATCCCACAAGTTGGAAGCAGACAAATTAAGAAGCCGCAAATAAATCGCCTTTTGTTAGCCGGTGTGATCGGCATCATGTTTCGCCTCGTCGTCTCTCCGGTCTGAATCATATCAAGTAAACTACGAAGAACAATAACGTACTGATGGAGGTGGTGGCGGTATACCCAGCTTCGTCAACAAAATTGACACCCAAAACGGACCGTGAATGAAATTCCGCACATAGCTGTAGTCGTCCGGTCGCACGAGCTGATTCTCGGGTACATCTTCCAACCAGAAATTCCAGAACTCGTCCACGTTTGCATCGTGTGTAACGGCGTCCACTACCTCTTGCAGATCCAGCCGATTCCTCTCGATAAAGTTCGCGAGATCGTCGTAGGCCTTTATAATTGAAAAGAACGACCCCTCCAACGCGTCCCGGAGCAGGCCGAGGGGGACGGCGACCGCTCGGAAGCTTGTCGTCAACAAGAGAGTACAGAGATAGTCGATCGCTTTCTTAGCGCTACTCTGCGTTAGCCTTTTTACCTTAAAAAGCTTGACGTACCAGTCTTGGTTCTGGTCTCCGATGACCAGGAATAATATCCCCACCGCAGCGTTGAACAGCGAGCTCGCCCGCCAGAACTCTCCTGGCCCGCCGATTAGGTCGTAAACAAGACCGCGAACAATGGGGTCTTTGTGAAAAGTTAACCGAATGAGAGTATTTAGCAGCTAAACATCCTGTCAGCCGGGCGACATCAAAACAATCTAGGGCCAAACCTCCTCCCGCGCCCTATCATCAAGTCTATCTAGCGGGAACGCTTTCACGAGCCCCAATATGGCTTCCAGCATGGACTGATTTCGCTGTTAGCATCTGTTTAGCAATGATATGCCTCTTACAGCCTTCGACTTGATGTCCAAATGAGCTTCGAAGTGCTGCCAGGTGAACATGATGTCCGCGGGTAGGGCACCCTTAAACCCGGGGATCAAGGAGTGCATGACGCGGACCGTCGCTATTTGGATATCCTCGTCCACATCGTTCAGCATCGGTACCAGCGTTTGGATCAGATATGTATCATACTACTTAAATCGTCAGCTAAGAATGACAACGAAGAGACCTGGACCTTATCCATCTTTTTCCCCCACACCCGAAGCAACTCCAGCTGACGAAGCTTGGTGGCCTTGGACAAGTACTCCAGCGAGTTCACGATCTTATGGAGCGTCTTCGTAGCCAAAGGGGGGGAAGCTTCGACGGCAATGTCAAGTATATCGGAAAGGCGCACTTCCTTCGCCTCCGATCCAGGCGTAAAAGCGAACAACGTGTCGTACTCGAGCGGCCCTTTGACCTCATGACGGAGATTCGACACCATGTCCCGGATGTCCTTGTTTACGAAAGTCGAGCAGTACGTCTCCAGCATCGTCATGTACAGAAACGACGACAAATAGTCCGTGTCGAGGACTCCGGAGATGATGTAAGCCAGGACGGGCTTGTTTGACTCGATCAGTGGCGGGTAGATGTTCATTGCGGCATGGAGACAGATGCATGCACCATAGCGAACCAACGATGGGGTGGCGCGGTAGTGATTTGTCAACGACTTGATGAAATCCGTTAACGGGACGTACTCCCGGCTCAGGACTTTCCTCGTACGATCTTCCGCTTGGGTGCCGGACAAATTTAGGACGAAATTCTCGAGGGCCCAGGGAAGCAGGTCGTAAGGATACTCCTCATTAGGGTTGACTAGGTTTAAAAACAAATTGAACCCCGTAGCTGTGAAATTATTAGTGAGGAATTACAAGCATTAAACCTACCATTTCCGCGGCTCTTGTTTACATCGGCCTTCTCGACGGGAGGAGTCTGGGCAGCGTTCGGGGCCTCACTCAGCTTCTCAAATATCTTCTTCAAGGTCGCTTTGATGGCTTCGACTTCGAGCGCCGTCTTATCTTTCAGCCGCAATAAAGTCCCGATAATCCCGTAAGTAAGCGACAAGTCCGCCAGAGCATAGAGTGGTGCTAGAAGTCCCAGCGCCTTGCTACGTTAAACCACAAGCTTCAAAAGTAATCTACCTTGATGATCACAAGCCGGTCCGGAAACGTTTTTGAAATTAAAGGGATGGACCCCAAGGAGAAGTATAGGTTGTAGATGGCAGCCAGATGGTCCTCCTCCAGAAACACCTTTTCGTTCTCGTACACCATGCGCGTGAGGACGCTGATGCATATGCCTCGCACGCTCCAGTCGAGCGAGGTAAAAAAGCATTCCAGCCCGGCGACAAGGGCGATGGCCATGTTATTCAACGCCGGACCGATGTAATGGAAAAGCTCATGAACGCTTTGGTGAAACCCTTCCATTGGCATTAGGGACCGTAGTGTTATACAACACAATCTCACCCTTGTCGTCCGTTTGAAAGCCCAGCGTTATCTTCCCAAGCTTTTTCTTCAATTCTATCGCTCTCTTGTCAAAGATGCAGGCCAGATCAAACAGCATGAACACGGCATTGACGCGAATTTCCTCGGAGTAGTGCCCCAAAATCGATGCCAGATGAACCGCATAATGCACAGTGACCTGACTTAAGTCAGCACACCTTCTCAAAGCGAATTAGAGCCTCTAACCCCCTCCAACACATCCTCAAACTGGGCGGCGTCCGCGTTTTTGAGCTGCGCTGGCGGGACGGCCTTGTCGCCCGCGAGAGCGAATCCCTGAGTTTGGTCCGCGGCAATCTGGCCGGTCGTCGCAAAGAACTTCCTGACAGCCTGAAGCCAGGCGGATACCGACGGCCTGTCTGCAGGCGGGATCGTGAAGAACAGGTCCGGCCTGGTCCGGTTCATCGCACTGTTCATGGTGGCAAGCTTTGAACTCCGCTGCACAAGCCACTTAACTGTCCAGCGACAAGCCACTAACGATGATTGTGTCACGTCAAGATATTCATTCACTTGTATGAGGTCCAAGTTCACGTGATTCTTCCCTTGCATTAACGACCACTTTCTGGCCGTGGCGATGCTACGTTTTAATTACACAATCAGATTTCCCTTGCAGCGAATAAGGAAACATCTCTCGGGTAAACACTACTTTGCGTGGTAAGCTATCTGTCAGTGCAGCAACCCTTCAGGCGATATGATGTAACGAAAATATGACCGCGATAGTAACGAAAATATGACCTTGACAGTGAATCAACAACGCCTTCGCATCGCATCTAGGCAAACGAAATATGCCAACGCAAAAAAAACCTGGGTGTGATTGTAGGCATTAACTTTATGTACAGTAAAGCAGAAACATACTTCAACTGCCTTCTTAGCTCAGCGGTAGTAGCGTCTGCCTCGTACTCTACTCCAGGGTAGCAGAAGGTCGGGTGTTCAATCCACCCAGAAGGCACTTTCTGATAATTTTTTTTGAAGTAATTTGTTTGCTTTGTTCATTCCAGGTCTCGGAATCAAAAGTCTATGCAATTGTTGTGTTATACCAGTGTAGTGAGGGTTTCAAGATTGAATTGAAGGGGGCTCCCCCATCAGTCATAATTTACATCAAGTGAGGGATTTCGAGATAATAACTGAAGAAGGAACCTCACGTCATTTGTGAGCCAGACTAACAACTCGCTTCCTTCAACACCATATTCAGCGACGTCAAGTCATCCCATGCCTCTCGCCAGCCAGTCTGAAGAATGACAACAAAAGGCTTCTTCTTGTTGGGCTGCATGCGCAGAACGGCGAGTGGGTGATGTGAGGGCCAATTTGAAAGGACCAGCAATGATACCTCAATTGATCGCGTGCGCGACCGACAGGGCATCCTTCACCAGGGAGGGTCCTTGCACCGAGCAGAGATGGTTGCATAGTGTTGGAGGGGATGGACAATCTGGCCTTCATCCGTGATCGTCAGAGACTCTGTCCTAGTGTGCCACCATCGACCT